TAAGCTTAAAATGGCTATCTAATAATGTTCCCATTGAAAACGTCTGGACAACTGGAATTTCATTAATGATTTTTATCTAGGAGGCTGGAAATATGGCTCAATACTTAAGAGCACTGGCTGCTCTTCTAAAGGACCCAGGCATGGCAGCTTACAACTGTCTGTAACTTCAGGTCCAGGGGATCTGACACCCTAATACAGAGAAACATTCAGGCAAAACATCAATGCATATAAAATAAAAATAAAGCATTTTAAAAATTAATTCATAATTTTTATCTAAATCTAACTGCTTAAATAGTTATCAGTAAAATCAAATACCACAAAAATCAGACATTGATTCTACTTGTTACATCATCTTGGATAGAAATCCTATTCTTGAAGAGCAGTCTGGGAGTGCCAGATGACTTCTAGGGCTCTGTGATTATCCTCTATGTAATCTGGGAAACTTCTTCAAAGACCTAAACTTCTGAGTCAAGCCTGATGACTTGAGGCTGATTTTGTATTGAGAACAACCTGATGAGGAATTTTCTGGAAAGCAGGTATACTCTATAGTCCTCTCCAGCTGTCCTATTACCATTTCACCATTGTTGGAATTACAGGGCCTCCTAGACAAGCCTGACTCCAACAGCAACGAAGAGAGGGGTCCTTTAATACTATTCAGTTAAAATCCAGTCCTGTGAGGTTTTATGTGCAGAAAGATGCTTGCCACCAACCTATTGTGCCTTTGCTAACCCAGAAGAAACACATCTAACATCCCACTTTCTACTGGGATTCTGGTGTTGGAAGAAATGAGAATCTTTCCACTGATGCTAAAACTGAAACTCAGAATATTCTCTTGAACTAACATCAGCCTTATACTTTATTAATTAATTCAAGAAATATATAACTCCTCCGTCGAACTAGAGTAGGGTGATAATTATTTGAAAGCAGGTGCGTGATTTTTCTTTAACATAGTTTTGAACACTAAATAAGTATGTAAGTGAAATGAAACAGCAAGAAAATTGTAACAAAAAAAACGTTATTTATGTATGCTTGGCTATCTTTTCTTTGATGTTCAAATCAAGCCTACACAATAGAAAACTTGTAAATCATGCAAACCATTTAGTTTTTTTACACTGAAACTGCCAGCTTTATTTGACCAAACAATGCAGCAATGGTGAGGAGCCAGAGGCGGAAAGACAGCTCCGTGAGTAAAGGTTTATCTGACAACCTGAGACCAACCCCTAGGATACACAGGATGGAAGGAGAAGACTAACTCGTACTGATTGTCCTCTGACCTCCACATGGGCATCCCCACACATATGCACACAGATAAATACGTAATAAATTGACTACATTAAGAATCCAGCAAGCCACTGTCACCCATAATACACTTGTCCCTAACATGAAAAATGATCACAGCTACTTCCACCCCAAAGGCATCTTGTTGGCAAACACACAGTCGAGTACCATAGTGCCTAACTAGTGGAACAATCCACTTAAATTAGCTATACCATTCATCCAATGAAGGTGATCCAGAGCTTCTAGGAAAACCTCAGGCAAAGCCATGCTGCAGAAGGCTGAAAGTCGGTTACATGGGTTAGAGAAGGCCACAGGAAATTATTAAGCATGTAGGTATGCTGAAAAACTGAGCAGTGAGACACAGCCAGTGTCTCAACTCAGGTCACAACCCAGAGGCAAACAACTTCTACTGCTGCCACTGAGGCCACTCAGCTCCAGAAGCCACAAAAGGAGTGCAACCACCCTGAGAATGCCACGCAGGAGGAAGCTACGTGGAAGCATGTGGGGAGTGATAGCTTTGTGTGGAGATGGCAAGGATGCTGGATGGGCAGGCACAGAGACATGGAGCGCCAAGGCTCCTACCATGAATGAAGGAACACTCTTCAAAGCAGAATCTCCATGTCCAGCGACCCAGATGGCACCACTCAGATCACATGCAAGTCATGAAGTCAAGTCCCACCTGGATCTCCCAGCCGATGACGGCATGAACAAAATGAGATTGCTGTTTTAAGCCACTACGCTGAGAACAGTTTGTTGTTTATAATACATCACTAGGAAATAGATCTATTTAATATGGAAAATATTAAAAGGAGAGGAGTTCAAACATCCATTTTTAATTTGCACTTCAGCATCAATAAAGGTGGTACAAAACAATCCTTATTTTTATAACACAATAAAAATATAACTGTATTCACATCAGATATACAAAAGGACACTTTCATAAGTAGCCACTATAGTAATTTGAACATTGACATGTGAGAGGCTTTCATATGACTTCCTGCCTACCTGTCTGTTTCCCTTTAATATAAAATTGAAGTGACGCTGAAATGTCTCATATCCATAACTAGTCCATGTAAAAAATGATAATCACATGTTACTACTGAAGACTATGGTACCCTCAAATCTGTGATTAATTTATATCCTGCTTAATGGTTCTCATGCAATTACTACCATGAACCCAACCATCCTAAACGAGACAGAAAGAAGTGTGTTGTCAGCTGTGTAAGCCAACAGCATTTCTAGTAGGATAACAAACTCCAGGAAGCCTTCAAATCATCATCAGTTTCCCTCTCAGTAACTCACATGGCCCAGCTTCATATGCATGTCTTTGGACTACAGACTTTACCTGGAAACAACAGAATGCAGGAATCTCCAGTGGATGATACTGATTAGAAAAGTTGATAATAAATGGCTATCTGCAAATGTTTTATTGAAAACTATTGGCAAATTTTGTTTGCACTAATTGTTTTTATCTTGATGTAATCTACTTAAATCTGTAATACTGAACTCAAATACCGTGAAAAGCCAACCTAGTCTTTCAAGCTGAATTGTGGGCTACAAATGCTTGGCAAACAAAAGGCCTATGCATTCCCATTTCTTGGGAATGGAGATTCCAAACTCATTAGCATAGGATATTTTGGTACTTGTGTTAATGATATCCCTATTGATTCTCCTTAATTAAGGTGACTAAGACAGGAATAGTTGACAGTGTCATTTTTACGAAGTATATTTGTTATAAATGATAGCACTCTTGTTCTGACCTGCATTCCACCATGACCTCCCAAGCCTGACTCTTTCAGAATTAATTCACCTTTCCTGAAAAAGGCCTGGGAAGACCCCATAACATTATTTAGTATATAAAACATTGTCTATGTTCTATGAGAAAATAATTTCAGTTTTTATTTAATCAACTGGAGGTTAACATGCATAGGATGCCATGGGCCCCTTCTCCCTGGTGCTATCATCAGTAGTGTTGGGTGTGGGAAGATCAGCTTAAAGGTTTCTGTAAGAAGGGTTCTGTAAGAAACCTTCTGTAAGAAGAATTAGCAATATTTCATTCAACAACATTTGCTAGGAGGCACAATATTTCAGGCATGTAGCAGACGAAAACAAAATGCCAGAAGGTGTAATACACTAGGCAGAAAGAACAAAAGATGAAACAGCTATGCAACACTCAGAAGGCAGCAATCTCAGAACACTAACAGCAGGACCAAGTTTGAGTCAGAGAGGAAGGAATAGCATAAGTTAGACACAGAAAAGTGTCAGCGCAGTCACTACAGGCAATCTATATCCACGTTCTTCATTGGTTTCCTGGGTAACTTTGAAGTTAATCCATTTTGCCATGCATCATTGCAGAGAAGCTCCTTGATGTACATGTAATCAGTGCCCCTAAATAAACCTCAGATAAACAGATGAATGAAAAGACAACCGAAACTCTTCCTAAGAAACCACCTACCCACCCGTAAGCAGATACAGACACTTAGAATTACACCATAGTGAAAGTTTAGAGAGAAAGGGAAAGCGGCAAGAGATATGATTGGAAAAGTTAAAGAGGCCATACAACGTTGTGTGTGCCATAATTAGCCTATGAAAATGAAACACTAAAAATTATTCTAGATGGATCAATCTGGCATGATGGCTCAGGTCGGTAACCCTGGCACTCAGAAAGCTGAAGCAGGATGATTGCTCTTAGTTTGGGGCAACCTCCATTGCAAAGTGAATCACAGGTCAGGTTAAGATACAAAGTGAGACCTTGCCTCAAACAAACATATTGAACCTATGAATGAAGTATGGTGTATGTGAAGTAAAGGATATGCTAAGTTTTTTCTCTATAGTATTTTACATGCATTCCAATATGAAAACATATAATACACTTTAAATCAATTCAACCACAGCGCACATAGCATTTCCTAGATTCATTTTATTATTCCATTATTTAGAGGCGCCACCCACTTTCCCCGGGTTCACTACTTGTATACATGCTCAAATACTACCCATGCCCCTCTGTACCAGCAGGCACCATCTACTTAAAAGGCACTTCAATGGGAGACGACACCACACTCAAAGACTAGTTAAGTCATACTGGAACCATAAAAGCAAAGTGTGCAGGTTGGAGTGTTGTATTCACATGGGACATGGCCAGTGTGCACCAAATAGCTTCAGGGTTCTTCATCAGAGTTCCTGCAAATCACAGCTCAGAGCCAGACCAGACCCTTGGGCATGCGTGCAGTAGGTAGTTGGAGAATATGGTAGACCTTTCTGTAGTCAAATCAAAAGGCTGCCATTGCTCTAAGGCAACGTGCAGGCACACATGTGGCTAAGCAACATTTCCTCCGTGACTCCGGTGAACGAGAACCAAAGTGCATTTAAAGCCTCTCTGCTCATCCCCAGGAAGCATCACCTCTCACCTGCCCACACAGTTTGGTCCCTTATTGATCAAGGTTCTGGCAAAAATCACTAGACAACACAGCAGTAGCAGGCTTCCAAATCCAAGGGTCTGCTCGCATAAGCGGATGACCCACTGTGATACACTGCACCTTGTAATCAATTTCAATTTAGAGCAGCAGCCACAACTGGGGATTAAAGCAGGCGACTCACTAAGGAGGACTCAGGGACTGTTTATTCCAATTCCAATGCACCATAAGCCGAACCTGTGAAGAGTTGTATCACAACTCAGCCAACCACAGCCCAGACAGTTCCCCTTTCCAGAAAGATGAGCTTACCTCTGCGACGTTTTCTTATATTTCCTCCTGTAGAAAAAGAAGCATAAACTCATGTCAGAAAGATCCTTAGGCAGGCAATGGGGGAGGAAAGTAGTTTAGCAGGGTCAGGCATGTGTGTCAACAGTTCTGGGGTTTCCTTCTGTGTTGTCATTTCAGAGTCCAGCTGCCAGTCTGTGATTGCTATGTCGCATTTTGACAGGCAGAAACACATGTAGACTTCACAGTGAAAAGCAGCATTCAGGGAGCTCAGTGGCTCTGCTCCCACGTGTTTCCCTTCTTCCCTTTGAAGGCAGTGTGAGATCCCAATTGAGGTCAGGCTTAAAGACAATGAGATCCAGGTTTGAGTCTCACCCTTTCCAAGATTACAGCACAGTGAGTAGAGGCTTACAAGAAGTGTTTTTGTCTGGTACACTTAATGGCCAATGCACTTTCTTCATCATCAATTGGCAAGAGTCTTTTAGTGTGTGTGTGTGTGTGTGTGTGTGTGTGTGTGTGTGTGTGTGTGTGTGTGCGCGCGCGCTGGGAATAACATATAGTATCTTATGCATAATAAGCATTTGTCTATTACTGAACTGTGCCCCAAAGGTAAAAAGTCCTATATGTTCCTTTTAAAAATAAAAACATGTTACATAGCTAAACCATGAGATCAGAAATAGATTTTCGAAGAAGGGTGAAATGGGAAATGAGGCTATGAGAAAATCTAGAATCAAATGATAACAGCAGCATCTACACTTGCTAAAGGTTTGGTTGAGGACTTTCCTGGGACACAGAAGAGGCCCAGGTACAGTGTATCTCTGCTACTTCTTTGTCAACTAGCTTCGGACAAATCTCATATACCTTGGGATTCCTGACCTATCAAGTAGAAATGTGACAACTGCTCTGACTATTTCTTCCTAGGTCATAGTGACATGCAAAGAGAGGAAAATGGCCTTAAAAATATGTTGACCCAGTACCCCAGGGTTATTCATGATCATGTCAGTTTTGTATCAACTCCTAAGATCCTCAGCAGAGTCTCAGCAGATTCTTCGATGGAGAGAATTAGAGGAAAGGAAAACCGTGGGAGGACCCTCACAGCATCTCTGAGTTTTCCTTTCTTGCCTTACAGATGCCACACAAATAATGTCAAGGCATATGAGAGTTAGCATTTAAAGCATACAAAACCACTCAAGTCCATGGAAGAACTAAGGAAAGGTTGAAAAGTCACCCAAAGGCAAATAATAATAATCAGATGAGCACCCTTGGCCTCTGTTTATAATCCCAACTAATTCATCAGAAAAGAACACCCGCAGAGGCTGTCTTGGAGATCTAAGGAAGGCAGTCTTGTGCTACTAGCCTAAGCCAGTGTGTTTCCACAGTGCTATCCAAGGACTGTACGAAGGCACTGCGGGCAGAGGAGGTAGTGGTGGTGAAGGAATCAGAGAAGAATGGAAACAGCAGCTACGTTTTCAGCACCTGCTCATCTCATAATGACTATTTGTGTCTTATTAATCTCCCATAGCCTTCTGAAGGAATTTATTCTGGAAACAAAATGAGGCATACACCTATAGTGATATTTTATAATAGCAACTCTAAGCCATAGTTTATGGAGTTTAAATCTAATTTAATAACTTCACTGGCTAGGTGATCTCAAATTCAGTTCTGTTGTAACTCATGTTTTAGTGTCCACATCAATGAAAAGGACGGAATAATCCCAGCGGGATATCAGGTATTTAATTCACCAGGTATTGCCCCTGTCACGGACTAGGCATTCCAAGTATTAGGTTTCCTCAGCCACTAGTTTTGAGCTTGTGAAATAAGCAAAACCTTGTCATGTGAACTTCTGCAACTGTGCCAAAGTCTTGCATATCAACTGGTACAGGGTCGGCAGATTGCAAATATCCACTGACCCCTTGTACCTGTCATCCACACAGGTCCAAATATGGCCTTTGCATTTGTTAGACCTAGGGAAAGGGAGACTTAGTACTATTCCATTCCTAACACTCCTTAATTCCACAGAATTGTTCTTGGTTGTAAAGAATAATTACAGGTTTTCCTTTCTTGTCTCATCTTTCTAGATACTTCACCAAATCAAGATGAGCCACACACAAATAGTGTCATGGTATTTGAAAGTCAGCATTTAAAATACTGGAAAACTCTCAAGTTTATGGAAAACACTCCAAGTTCAATACTCAGGTCTTATGACAGCACAGCTGCTACCCAGACATTGATTCCTGCTCATCCTTCAGGTCTCAGTTGAGGTACCACCTCCTCACAGAGCCTCCCAAGCTGGATAGACCTCCAGCTGTGTTTCTAGGTGGTCCATGCTCCTAATACAGTTGTTTAGGATTCCAACTGGTCCTGATATATTACCATGATGCCAAGAATCTGCTCACTGTCTGCCAGCATCCTTCCTTTGCCTAGCATGACAGATGTCCACACCATTTTAGTAAAATGGATGTACCTAGCAAGAAACAAATCTGCTTTGATTTTACTCCTTTAATTTACTGCAGATTTACAGGAAAGTGAGGACATCTCCTATAGCCATGGTCTCTAAACGTAGGAGAAAAGAAAGGAGAAGTCTGGGAAGCTAGCTTACAGTTGGGGAGCTTTATTTTTTCCATTCCATCCCTGGAACTGCAAGTAACTTATCCGGATATCCAACAAACCCTAGAGAGTTTGAACCTGCTTCATACTTCACTGAATTGAAGCTCAAAAAAAAAGTTAAGCAATTAGTTAAGTAATTAAGCTACTAAATAACCAGATGAAATAACTCATTCTAAGGATATAGAGGGTTAAAGAGTCTGATACAGAAAATAAAATGCAGGCAAGAGCGTTGACAAAAATTATGCAAAGAGGTTAAAAGATTCCAGCAGGAAGCTTAGACACTGGAAGAAAACCAGTCCAAGGGCAGAAAACACACAAGGGTCTTTCCATTCAAATGCAGGAAATGAACTGGAAAAGAAACCCAAGTTATTCCTGGCCTTTTGTTTCTGAAGAACTTCAACAGAATTTGTCCCTGACTCACTGCTTGTAAGAATGCTATTGTTTGGGTTGATTGCATTTACTTTAAATATGAGTTGTGGAAACTTGAAACAAGTCAGCAAAGTCTAGCAGTTCACATAGCTAGACTAAGCTGTTGTAGAAGGGAAAAAAGGCAGAAGCCCCTTGCTCGGGATTCTGGGTTAAGGTGACAGCAGTGTGGGAGACAGGCCAAGAGGCAGCAGACCATCTTCATGAGGCCAGGTTGCCAAAGAACTCAACATCAAAAACATTCCAAAAATCTGTGACAAGGAGCAAAGAAGAACAAAAATGACTTGGTTTGTTTGCATTTTGATAGCTGGGACTTTCCAGAGCAGTAGGCACCACTTCAGTCAAAAGTAAGTAGCAAGTATTCCAAAGCCAAGCATACTATTCTGGAATGGTTTTCTAATGCCCTGGATAAGTGAAAATGATTAAACATTGATGCTAAATTATGGATTGTGTGATAGTACCTTTCACTCTTCTAAAGTGTGTGTCTGAGCAGAAGCCATAAAAGTACCTTAACTTAATATTCCAAAATGTTCAGATTTCACTTTAGGTTGACAGCAAGATACCACCCTGTTGTGCACAGTAATGCTGGGGACGTGAATAATTGAATACATAGCCAGCCACACAGTAAGAAGTCAAAGTCTGCCTTCAGTGTACCCAGATTTTCTTGGAGAGTGACTCCTAGTGGAGACAATTATGTCTTCATCTCTCCCCAGGAGGCCAGAGCCCTGAGGACAAACAGATGCAGGCATCTTACTTCTCAGCCCTTGATTCCCTCATGGGGGTGGAAAGTCGAACTTAGAGAAAAACCAAGTACTGTTATAACTAATTACATGTTCTCTGTATGCCACTGTGGGAAAGTGAACTGAGACAGAATGCCACAAATGGCTGTGAAATGATCCAAGCCCAGACTGGCCATCTGATGCTTTTGTTTTGGTTGTTATGCCTGGTGCAGTCTGGGAAGAAATTGATATAACCACATACTTTTACTGGTTTCTTAAACCATTTGTATAAACTGTCTGGGTTTCTGATTATGGAAAGCCTTTATGCATCTCTCTTTCCTCTCAGTAATTCATTTCCATAGTGCACACATTAAAACCTAGGTTTTTGCACCTACATAACACTGATTGTCTTCTGGCCTTGATACATTTGAATAACAAAATGCTGGTGAAAACACAAGTGAATTAGGCTTCTCACACTTGCACTAAGTACCCAGAGGTGAGAGGCAAGACAATAAAGAGATCTCTGCTTTTACTAGTGTAAATGTCTCTTTTTAATTTTTATTACCTTTACTTATTCATTCGTATGTTTGTATGTGGGAGATGCACCCTGCAACAGTGCATTTGCGGAAGTCACAGGAAAACTAATGAGAATCAGATCTCTCCGCCTACCATGTAGGTCTCAGAGATGAGCTACAAAATGAAGTTCCACATGCCCAAAGACTCAGGGCAGGACAGGAATATAAATAATGAAATGGAGTAGCCTGGAGTAGTCCAACTGTTAGTAAACAGTCTTGGGCTTTGTTATTAGTTTCTAGATTTTTCTGGTGAGTTTTCTATGGGAGGAAAAAAATGTTCTTAGAACTCATGCCCTCCTATTCAGGACAGACATCTCCCTCATACATAAAATTCTAACATGAGTAGTCAAATGAGATCAAATTCAAATGAAGGAAGTATTTGCCTTTGTGGTTTGAGGTTGGAGATGGTTGAAAAGATGAACAGAAGGCTTACACCAAGTAGGACTGTAAATAAGATAATCTATTCTCTACTGATCCTGGAAGCAGATTCTCAGGCTAATACTGACCAGAGGGTAGATAATGAATAACCTTTAAGGAAAAGCTAATATATTCCAAGTTAAGAGACACCTAGGAAGCCTGTGTGTAACTACCAACTCACACAGTGACTCCACTATGGCCCTTTTGCATCTCCTGTACTCTTCACACAAGACCCTCATCTGTCTGCAGACAGCTGGCTAGACAGAAATCCAACGCCCTTATTCACGCCTGCTTCTCTCCTGATCCT